GGGTCACTTTGAACTTCGGCACATTCCCTCACATCCCTGGCATTGATAACAAAGGCTTTCATTGTCTTTTAGTGGACTTTAATACTAGAGCCCCATAATCACTATTTGTAACTTAGCATAAAAGCATTTTAAGTTCAAAGAAGTTTTCTGGATAAATCTGCCTTATGTTATGGATTTGATCAGTAACAAAAAATTTTAATTATTTTGCCTAGAGTTCCTAAAATTTAAGCTTACTGGGTAAACGAATCCACCAGAATACATTTGGGAACGATCAAATTTGACGTTTTGTCTTCAATCTCCAGAACTCCAGCTGGAAGATGACAGCCGGAGCACATTTTAAAGGCATCTGTTATAACATCCCTTCATCTTGAGAGGAGTACATAAAAATTTTTGACTTTAAAATTACTAACATTAATAATGTATGACATAATCAAGCTTTTATTAGAACTCAACCTTTAATCTCTGTAATCTTATTCAGGAAAGTTAAAATGTGCTTATTATCATCATCAATAAAAATGTAACTCTGGATCAGGGATCTAATAGCCTGATGCCAAAAAATCATCACAAAAGTACAAGTGTGGTTTACCTCTAAATCCAACTCAGCCATTTGCCACTTAGAACAGCGCCATCTGTCTGCTCACAAAACAAGAACTCTCTACCCTGCAGTACACACTTTTTTATTTTGTTATTATTATTAAACGCCTACTTTGTGGTTGGCCTTTCCTGTGATAGCAGCAAGCTGAGTCCTTCACAGACCTTGGTCACCTCCCATGGATGGCTCTTGGCTCCGAAGAGCTGGGTCCATGCTGTCAGCCTTACCTGGGACGGCCAGGTGGGTGCCCTTCAGAGACCAGCACTGTCTCACCCCAGGCGCCTGAGCAGAGCACATAGCATTGCCACTGCAAGGGGTACTGGGGAGGAAGCCTGGGGGACATCAGATCTGTCTCCCCACCCCCAGTTCCCTGGGCAGTACACACAGGGACCCCAGGGCTGCAGCCTGAGAATCCCTGGCCAGGCCACTGTGGGCTGACCTCAATGGCCTCCCCAGTTCCCATGCTGGAACCCAGTCTCCATTCAAGGGAGAATGGAGAATGGATCCTTTGGGGATGGCAGTGATGTGCCCTTTAACAGAGGACCTCAGAGACCTTTTCCTACCCACCATGGGGGCGCAGCCAGCAGCCATCTGGTGTGAGCCAGGATCTGGGACTTCGGGCCTCCAGGCTGGGAAAGAAATTGCTGATGTTCATAAACCACCCACTCCTTGGAGTTTGTTGCAACATCCAGGACAGATTAGACACAGGGACCCTTGAAGTTCCTCCTTGGTCTTAAATACTGGGACTCTTTTGGTGCTTGGGATGAACCTGTGACCCCCCACCCCAAGTGCTAGGTCAGTGCCCACTTCCAAGCCCCAGCCCAGCACATCTCTTTATGAAGGTAAATGTGAGAAGTCTTTGCTGTCTCTGAGCCCCATCTCCAGCAAAGGCCTTAGAATCCCCACCCCAGAGACATCTCATACCTTCTGTGTTCAGATGGCCCTAAGAGCATGAAGGAAGGGGAGCAGGGGGCCCCTTTGCCGAGCAATTCTGTCCCTTGCCTGCAGGATCACCCCAGTCCTAGACCTCAGCCACAACCACCTGCACAGCAGATCCATGCTGCAGAATCAGGGCATGTTTCTGTGGCTTGGGAGGGCAAGGGATGGGGACAGGCTCCACACCCTGCTCAGACTGTGGGCATCTTCTGTGAAAGACAAGCTGTGCTGCACAGCATTGCTCTCTGCTGTGTGTCTCGGCTGCTGTGGGTCACACAGGCTCCCTTGGGCACCCTGCTGGGTGAGCCCTGTTTCCTCACCTGCAGCAACAGGGATGCTACTGACCTCCTCCCAGGGCTGCTGTGTGGACTCAGATGACACAGAAGGCAGGAATTCGGAGTCCCTCACTATCTCCAGCCTTGAGCTTCACTGTAGCAGCAGCTCCAGGTGGTGTTGCTGCAGTGGAGAGCGTCTCTCCCAGGTGTTGGAAGCCCAGAAGGCAGACTGTCCTTGTGGCCATCTGGACCCCCATGGTGGACCCCTGGGATTAAAGCCAAGGGTCTTTGAAGAAGACTTTGGTCCTCTTGGTAAAATAGAATTCAGAGCAAAATGAAATACAAAGCCCCACCTGGTTCCTATGCACAGTAACAATTGTCCCCAGAGCATTTTCCGTTCTGCCTATGCCTCCTCTGAATGTGGTCCTGGGGCTGGAGCTGTCTCCCTGAGGTTCAAGTGTTGAAGCCCTCACCCCAGCATTGCAGAATGCCTTTCAAAGGAGGAGGAGTTTAAAGGAGATCACTGAGGTGGGCCCCACCCAGCATAACTGGTGTTTTGTAAGAACTGAGGCTGTTGCTGGGATGCCCTGCCTGCCTGGCATGGACCAGGCCCTGTGTTCATTGCCCAGCACTGCAGAGGCAGAGGGAATCAGGACACAGACCCCCATGGGCCAATCTCAGGAGGACACGGGGGAGACACAAGGTGGGCTATGGAGTGGGGTGGAGGGCTCAGAAGGAAGCAGGCAGGACTCAGGCCTGGCCTTGGACCTCCCCATGTATCCAGGAGAAGCAGCTGTCTGTGGCTGCCAGGCTATGGTGTTACCTGACCGTTTAGGGACAGAGACTGACAGTCACAGCTGATGTAGCTCTATGCGGGGCTGGGCTTGCTGTTTATGTCACAGTAGAGTTAAGTAGGGTGGTTTTGCACCAAGGTTCGGTGTGCAGAGGGCCGATGTTCCTGGGGAGGAGGCTGTCTGGGCCTATCCCCCTCTCACTCTCGGCAAAGTCTCTCCGGGTGTCCGGTGTCATAGGAACCCTGTGGCTCCATGAGTGAGTGAGCTCACATTAGTTTTGGGAAAAGGTCAGTAACGTAGTATAGTCACAGATCAGTCCCTTCCAGGGTGCTGGTGGCACCCTGTGGTGGCCCCAGGCCCCACATGCACTCAGTTGCTATTGCCAGGCCTGGGGCTTTATGCCCAGCTGAGTACTGAGCCTTCCAGGACTCTTTCAGGTGCTTTAGTTGCCCATACATTCAACAGGATCCACCAAATAACACTTCCAGGTGTTCTCTCTTGACATCTTTGTCTCCCTAAAAGTCGTGCTCCCTGGTCCAGGCCATGTGGGCATAGCAGTGATGTCAAGAGGGTTTTTTCACCTGCGTGGTGACTTCAGGCTCCCCTGCCTTCGAGCAGGAGTTTTAGAGTCCCTTCTCTGACCTTGGCATGGTGGCATGTGTCTGTGATCCCAGTGGTCTGGGAGGCTGAAGCAGGAAAACTGGCTCGCAGCTTCAAGCCCAGCTTGGGTAATACAGGCAACTTATTGAAACCATGTCTCAGCATTTCAAGGGATGGGATGGAGAGCTGGGGGCATAGCTCAGTGCAGTCTATGACGTGGCCTTGGAAGCTGCTGCTTGATGAATTGGTGTGTGGGTGCTGCCAGCTCAGGCTGCAGCTAGGCATGTGTCCCAGGCTGCAGACCTCGAACCCAGCTGTGGCACTGGGTCAGCTCTTCCCAGGCGAGGATGACCACCTTGCAGCTTCAGTCCTTCCCAGCCCTGCCCAGAAGCAAGGCCGTGGAAGCCACATTGGCTGTGAAGACCAACCATTTTCCCTCCAGTTTGAGACTAGAAGGAGAGAGTGAGGTAAGGTGCCCCAGAAGTCTTTGGTGTCCTTTTGGAGGGAGAAGGACACCTGTGTATCCTCCCTGTGGACTGGGCAAAGGCTGTGCTGGCAGGCGAGTGGCCACCTCCGGGGAGGGTTGCAGGCCAAGACCCGGATGTCCTGGTTCTCCCCTCAGGGATGCTCTATGCGTCTGCCTCTGAGTGCTGGGGGTCAGAACTGGATTAAAGCATGTGTAGGGCTTTTCACCACCCCAACCTCTAGCACATCCAGCCCAAAAGGGACACAGTAGATCTGGGGTTGGAATCACCATCTAAGCAATGATGCCTTCAATTTGCCATGGCAGCTCGTGTTTTCTAACTCACACATCAAGTCTGTTATGGGAGGGTTGGCTGCTTTTTGAGAACAAAGTGCAGAAGGGAAGGTCTGGGCTTCCATGCTAGAGGCCTGGGCCTAGGGTGGGGTGGAGGGCACGGCCCTGCTGCTGCTCTGGAGAGCTGACTGCTCAGGGTGCAGGACTGTGACTTCCGCAGGCCCACCGTCTGCCCAGAGCAAGGCCACAGAGCATGTTAATGCCTTTCTCTGAGAGGTGATTTGAACCCATGGTGAATGTTTACATTTTAAAAAATGTATCACAGTAATACCATGAATCCCCCTCAGAACACTCCCCGCACATTGAACTCACTGATCCCATCATCCTTGCCGTTTCCTGAAGCAGCCCTGGAGTCCTCTTTCCTGAGAGCCCCTAGTTGCACTGTCAGCTGGCTGCCTTGATGTCCTGAATCATTTAAAAACAAAACAAAACAAAACAAAACAAAACAAAAACCCTCCAAAGTTGTTCTGACTTTGGGAAGAGTCAGAAGTCACACAGCGCCAGACCTGGTGAGTAAGGTAGATGAGGACACAGCTTCGTGTTCTTCAGAGCCTTCCTTCCTGTTGGCTGGGGCTTGGCAGCAGCATTCACTGAGTTTTTTATCACACCTCACAAAGACATGGAGGGGACTGTAAAGCTGCTTCAGAGAGTGGCAGGAGCAGTGGGATGAGCGCGTTCATGGCAGTATGTCATGTACTGTAATACGTTCTTTAAGACTTGAACTTTCCTCATTGTATCTCTGACTTTCTTATCTGAGGGACCCCGGGACATCGCTAGCTAACACTGGTGATCCTTCCCTAACTCTGCACAGTTCTGGTCACTTTTGGGTCCCAGGTGATCTGCGTATGGGTGGCCGAGAGCTCAGCTTAGCCTCACCCGGAGTAACTTCTCTCCGTCCCAGGCAGTCTCTGCATGGTGCTTTGACCCAGCCTGCGTGTCCCCCAAGCCCAGGTCCCACACACACTGAGCCCGCTGTCTCCCCACAGGCCTCGGCAGGACTCGAAGGAAGCCCAGTGCACGGGACACGTCCCCGACACCCAGCACGGATGCCGAGTTCCCAGCCAATGGTGCGGCCGACCGTATCTACGACCTCAGCATCCCAGCCTTCGTCAAGTTCGCCTATGTGGCCGAGCGTGAGGACGAGCTGTCCCTGGTGAAGGGCTCTCGTGTCACCGTCATGGAGAAGTGCAGTGACGGCTGGTGGCGGGGCAGCTTCAACGGGCAGGTGGGCTGGTTCCCATCCAATTATGTCCTGGAGGAAGTGGACACGGCAGCCGCAGAAGCCCCCGGGATGCCCGGGCCGCGCAGGGCCCCTGGCTTGAGCCTTACTCGGGGCACGCTGCACGTGGTGCAGACCCTGTACCCCTTCAGCTCGGCCACCGAGGAGGAGCTGAACTTTGACAAGGGCGAGACCATGGAAGTCATTGAGAAGCCCGAGAACGACCCCGAGTGGTGGAAGTGCAAAAATGCGCGGGGCCAGGTGGGCCTGGTCCCCAAGAACTACGTGATGGTGCTGAGCGACGGGCCAGCCCCGCACCCTGCGCCCACCTCACACCCCGGCTTCTCGGGGCCCTCGGCCAGCGGGCACTTTGCGGGCCGTGAGTGGTACTACGGCAGCGTGACACGCCACCAGGCCGAGTGCGCACTCAACGAGCGGGGCGTGGAAGGTGACTTCCTCGTCAGGGACAGCGAGTCTTCGGTAAGTGCAGGAGGCCACACAGTGGTCCCCATCACCTGTGAGTTGGTTACCCTGTCAGCAAACGGTTGAGGAGCAACTTCCCTTGATAACTGTGCCTGTCTCGGGGTCACTTTATCACAGTGTGTTGTTAAGAGTCGTCAGCTACTGTTACTCCCTTCCTGTGCCCGAAGCACGGGTCAGACTCTATCCCCCTTCCCTTGCATGGGAAGGAACGTGGTGCTTGCTGGGCTTCCCTACCTGCTGCAGTTTGGAGGCCCCTGGGGATCTTGGCACTTCTGTGTCCATTGCAGGGTGGTTCGTGGGTGGCACCCCGTGGCCAGATGGTGTGAATGTTCTGGAGGTAGCGAAGGGCATCTGGAGCTGGTATTAAGCTGACTCAGTATGACTTGGAGAAGGTTTGTGATTCAGGGTGAGTCTGTGCAGGGGCGTCTTGAGCACCTGTTGCCACCTGCTTTCCCAGGGGTTAGGAGGGTAAATTGAGGCCCCTGTAAAGGTCCTTATGCCCCTGGGCTATTCCAGAGCCCCAGGGATCCTCTTCTCCCTCTGTGGGAGAGGCCCATGCCCCTGACTGCTTGCTGCAGCCCCTGTGTGAAGGCCACAGCCTCCAGTGACTGCGTTGTCTTTCTCTAACCCATCCCATTCCAAAGTCATCATTGCTACAGCAGCACAGCCCAGCTCAGCTCTGAGCCATGGCTAAAGCCCCTTCAGGGAGTCTCGGCCTTTCTGATGCGTCCCATGGAGACACACAGCCATCCCCAAAGCTGCCTTCTCTATAGTGAGATCCCGTACTGGAGTTGTGAATGCAGTGTCCAATGTCATTGTTACTTGAAGCCCTGGTTTCATTTCTCAAAGGCAGAAGGTAGGACAGATGCCTGTGCCTGGCTGGCACTGCCCTCTCCATAAGCCAGCACACTCAGGACTTGTGGCAGGGAGGAGGAGCTCAGTGCTGTCAGGGGGGCGTGGGTCTGTCCTTGGCATTGTCAGGGTGGCAGGTGGACCCTGTCTGCTGTCAGCACTCTGCAGGGCCACTGCGCCCTGAGGTGTCTTGGGCTGGCACTGGGAAGGGCCCACTTCTTAAACTGGAATTCCCAGCCTGCTCATGGAGCCACTAGATGTGGTCATGGCTGGCAGAATGTCACACAGAGCTGTTCTCATGCAAAATCATCCTGGCCCCCAGCACTCTCAGAGCATGTTGAGGGCAGCAGGGAATTGGGAACTGTGGTGTCTCTTCCTGTGACTTAGACACTATAAGAAAGAGCTGCAGAATCAACTGTAGGATCAAGTGTTCTTCTGCCTGGGGATTCTCTGAGTTGGATGCACAATCCTGGTTAACAATGCTGAGTGTGAAGAGATTGACTGTACAGACAGAAAGGCAGGATCCGGTTTCTGTGTGTAAGATGTGGGGGAGGGGGCGGTGCCCCAAGAGAGTGTGAGCAGTTTCACCTCTGCATGGGACCCTGCAGGTGCTCATCACTGTCTGAGCCCAGGGACCAGGTCCATTTGGTTAGGGAGTGGCCTGTGTTGTTGTTCTGGTTCCAACTGAGAATGTGACTAGATTGCGCTGTTCTGTCTTGCATTATTAGATGCACTTTATCTAGATAACAGCAGTGCCAGTTACTTACATTTTGAACCATTTTTATGAATCTTTCTAGGTAGTTTACATTCGGCCTTAACTTAGGAGCCAAGGTAGGACACGGTGGCAGTGTGACTGTGTGCCAAGTTGGAACCAGGACTGGGGCTGTGCCCTGCTGAGACTCAGGCTCCATGCATTGGTACGGACATGGCCAGAGGCTCCTGAGGCCCCACCCTGTTTAGGTGAATCATCCTGCTGGCCTCGGGTGACAGTACCATTTGTGTCTTCAGGGCTTTAGGCATGTGGCTTCCTTCAGTTGTGGCAGAACAGGCCAGGCTAACCAGGCCTGTTCTCAGCTATCACCTGATGGACAGGTGGACACATCCCTCACATAGTCCTTCTCAGCCTTCCACTGCCCCTGCCTTATCTCTTCCTGTCCATTTGGGATCTCTTAGGCAATAGCCTGGCTTTCCCAGCCACCACCAAGCCACTAAGAGCCCTCAGGTTTGTGATCTATCATAATCTGGTGTCACCGTGTGCTGCGAGATGGAGGTTTCTCAGTGGCTCAGCCTCCCCATAGGACTCAGAGGCAGGGTCTTCATGCCATTTCCTTGCTGTCACAGGACCTGGGACTTCCTGTGATAGAGTGGGCCTCAGGCAGCCTGGCTTCTGTGCCAGGACAGCGGTTTGGGACACACACCTTCAGAATGTGTGTCACTTAGAAAGGTCCCACTGACTAAACTATAAGTGAGCTAGACTCTTTTAATATGGCACTTGTGATTGAACCGAAACCTTTACACTGAGCTACATTCCAAGCCCTTTTTTATTTTCTATTTTGAGACAAGCTAGGTCCATATGTTGCCCAGGCTGGTCTCAAACTTGATGAGTTTAGAGAGTAGAGTCCCTCAGCCCCCACACAGAACAGGGAGTAGAGGGCACACCATCTTCTCTGGATGGTATGTTTTGCATTTTTAAAAGCTTGCTATTTTTCTCCCTTGAAGAATAAAAGCATGTCCATCTCTGAGTGATAACAAGTCAGGCCTTTTGAGGGGAGAAGTGTGTATTTCAGGACCAACAAATGAAACCTTTGCCACATCTGGGCTATCCTGTCCAGATGTATCTGTTGGACACCTGTTGGACTTGTTGGGAAGTGGACAGACTGGCTCATCTGTCTGAACTTCCACCCAGCCTCTCTCCTCTCCTGTGCTGTCTCCAGTTGTCATTTCACCTCTTCAGCCAAAGGAGACCTGGTGTCGTTTCTTATCCTCCCTCAGTGCCTCACTGTAGCCCCTTCAATTCTAAGCCAGCCCTATCCAAACCAGGAGTCAGGGTCCTGCCTGCCCTCTGAGCTTACCAGTCCTTACACAGGCATCCACACGCACTCTGGACTCCTTAGAAACCCCAATTTACACTCAGTTTCTGCCAGCCATGCAAGATGCCAGTGCTTCGCTCTCAAGGCACAGCCGTCTCCCTCGTCTTCACAGAGGCGGAGCAGGCAGGAGTCAGAGCAGGACTCAGCTGTCAGAGGGCTGACAGCTCAGGACCCATGACCATGGGGGCTGTTTCCTTCAGGAGACTTGAGCTGTCAGAGTGTTTCCCTCCTATGGAGCATGTCCCACAGTGGCACACTTGTCATAGAACACATTTGCTTTGGATAGAGAAAAACAGCCTTGCTAAGGAAAATTTAAAATATATATTGGCCTTACAAAAGGCCGATATGTGCTTTGTTCCTCTTTTTTATTTTTAATCTGCTCATATTGCCTGGCTAGGATAAACAAAAGAATTAGAAGAGTTACTTGGTAGAATTTTAAAATATAAAATTTCTTATGAAAATCTTCTCTAACCACAGTTTCATTAGTCCACCTCTACAGCCAGAGATTCATGCTGCAGTTCTCACCGGAATACCCTGGGGCCTTGTTCAAACAAGGGCTTGGGGGACCTACCCACCTGCAGCATTCTGGTCTGGGCCCCAGAATTTGCATTGGCAGCACATTCCTTTGGTAGCACTGGGGCTGGTCCCTTGCACTTATTATGCATTTGTAAATTATTTCATGCATTTTATAATACTTATTAAAATACCATTTCTGCACAATACTGCATCCCCAGGAGTTGTAAAACACTCTTAAAGATGAAAATTACTGCTCTGCTCTGAAGTTTAATTTTATGTAGAACTGTTGGCTTCTGTTGCCTCAAATTAATCTCTGGAAGTGTCTTTTCTGTTCATGTTTTTACTTTTTTGAGTTTGATCGTATGCCTGCAGCTGTGTTTCTGTGTGCAGGCTGGAGCTCAGGGAAAGAGCTCCACGGCAACCCAGGTGAGCAGAGCAGCAGCGGGCTCTCTGGGGACCCTTGGCTGCCCAGGTCATGGTCGCACACTGTCTCATTTCTGTGTATCATGCCCAGTACCAAATGGCAGTTTTAGGCCTGCATCTGTGTAATATTTCTAACTTGACATTGGAAGGCTGTATGAGGTCATCTGGTGTGGACTTTCCTGGAGCAGTTCCATGTTCAGAACCTGCTTCTCAGCTGTTCCGGGGCCTTGGCTCGTCCCTTTTCAAAACTCCAATGAGCATCCACCGGCCACTCTGCCGTCTGTGAGGAGGAAGGCCAAGGACAGTTTGTTTGAAACCTGTTCTAACCACCGAGCTAGGGGACACCAATGACATGTCCTTCCCTGGAGGCTGGGATTCGAGGGCCTGCATTACCCCCACCCATGGGACCAGAGGTATCTGTGATGTGCAGGCAGGCAGAACTGGCCTCTTGTGATGCTGAGAGCTTTGAAGAATATTAGAGCTCAGACTAAAGCCACTCCATGCTACAGAAAGGTTGGAGTCAATTTTAACTCTACCATATTCTGTGTAAAGAAAATAAACATGGATTGAGCATCCCTGACCCCCAATCCAAAATGCTCTAAAATCTGGAGCTTTCTCAGCAGCAGCAGGATGTCACAGTGTGAGCTCCACCTCGGCCTGGTGGGACAGTCACAGTCCCAGTGTGCGACACTGACAGCCCGCACCATGTGACCCCGGGCTGGGTGTCTGAAGCATGTATGGCACACAGGACCCAGAACCCGATTGAGCTTTGTGTTTAGATTTGGGGCCCTTTTCCAAGATACCTCATTCCTAGGTGCAAATCTTCCAAAATCTGAGGTTTATTTCCCATGAAGTACACTGGCCTATGGAGCTTGTGCATTTTTACCTCTTTCACAGGGAGTTTGGCAAATGGGGAAAGTAGAATGGGGCATAAGCTGTCCTGAAAATTGCCGACTTCCTGTCCTTGGTGAGGTGCTGGGGTTGGAAGGAGCCGTCCCCGAGCTGCGGTGAGGTTCTGTGTCTCCAGCCCATCGTCACCATTCCCATTGTCCTCATGCCCCATCGCTGATAGCCTGTAGCACAGTGCTGCACCGTGCACCATGTGCAGGCAGTTTC